GGGCTGGTAGGGGGACCGAGGGGAAGGGGGATGGAAGACCCTCCTTTTCCTCTGCCGGCGGAAAAATGATAGACTCATTTTAAGATATATATCTAACTCAGTAACATTTTCGAATCAATGGGTACATCACACGAATTACAAAATTGGGGCATTCTACAATAAAACCATGATTTTAATCGTATATTAAATCAGCATACACAACTTCTGAAGACACATTCAGTATGTCACAAACAGTGCTTTTTTGTGTTTATATTTATTTATTTGTAAATTTGGTGGATTAACCTGCGTATCAGCCTTTCTATATATATGCAGCTTCGCACAAATTTGATGTCGAACTCGGAGTGCTACCACACTCAAATACCACGCCAAAGCATTCAGCCCTACTCAATCCAGTCATATACAGACAAGAGTAAATTAACTAGTTAATTGTAGCGCTTACCCTAAATAGGAATGAATAACGATAACCATATTTTTTAGGACTTTAATTGGTACGTTGCATCCAAGCAATCCAAGCAATCCAATATTACTTTTTATTTTAATTTAATCATTACAGCATATAACAAAACACTCCTAAAAAGGGACCCCATTGGAATTAAGCCATAATGTGGCTTTATGGGTCATCCCAGGTAAAGGCCTACATAGTAATCGAATCCAATCCAATTTTCAACAATTTGACTGATTATTAGTTCTATGGCATAAATAACTTGTAAGTAACATTTGCGATAGTTAATTGATATGATGTGATATGAACCTTAAACAATAATACATTGTCCTATATCGCATAATATATACAAAATATACAAAATTCAATATACAAAATTCATATCACATAGCCAGAGACGTACACATTTATCACAGGGGCCTGTTCGTGTATGCGGAACAACCGGTTTAACCGTTAATAAATGTAACAATTTCGGGTATCCTGGCGGACCTGCAAATGTTTATGCAGGCCTCGCAAAGCTTTGTCAAGGCTCGCCTGAAAGCAAGCAGCATCAGATTACTAGGTCCGACCTTATTTAATAAACGAACAACTGTGGTCCGATCGGTTTGACCGATTAAACGAAAACGTGTATGAAGTGAAACCGAAAATAGCAACTAGGTGGCGCTGAATATCACTTCCGGTAACACACATGGAAAAACTTCGACAGATGTCTGCTAGGTCTACAGCTGTAGGGCATTCGGTGTGAGTGGGCGATTATCTGAATGTAAGTTGATGTTACGAGGTAAAAACATGCTCACGCTTAAAACTCATAAGTAATACTGTATAGAAAAGCTGATATTTAATATTTGACACGTTACATTGTACAGGTTGTCGACTGGTTCTGTTTCGGGGTTTGTGGGCACGAGCTAGCTTATGGTAGCTTTCACTGAAGTTATGAAGTTCCTACAGGAACTGAGACTTACTTCAGATTTTTGTTACATTCGTTCCCATATGTTACTACAGATCAAGCAATTTGAATGGAAATGTATTGCAATGTGGTCGTTTTTGACATTCAGATGACCATGTATTTTTGTCATTGTTTTATTTATTGGTGTGACACAAATTATCAAAAATATTGATATTATCATGTATTATTGCCTATTAACATACCAAAAGAGATTAATGGTTTGATGTAGTCCGGTGGCGTTGTGCACTTTGACTTTCAGCCAATCCATTAGCGTTTGGTAATGGTTGCTGTGAATAAAAATCTTGATAATTTTCTTTGAAATTATCACGGACTTAGATAACAATCTAATTCCGTGAAATTATCAATGAATTAATTAATTTGCAATGAATAAAAATAACAGCATGATGGCTTGAACAAAGCTTAATTTGTGTTTCATCAGCAATTGCAAGGTGCGATGGACTCACTCATCACATTGAAATAATCATAATGTTAGGTTTCCAAAAAACAAGTTTTCAGAAATGTCAATGAAAAACATGTAACTTTATTAATGATCAAAGATATATAACAAAATTTGTAAAAAAAATGATTCCTTCAGTGTATGAGTTTATTCTTGGTGTGACCGTCATTCTTGAGTTGCCTCATTATCATAAAAACTAAATAAGCATGTGTGCAACTTCACCAAACGCTCAAATCCACTGGATGCTCAACTTCATCAGATGCAGCTGTGTACATACTAGTATTTCTCTCCGTCATATTAAACCTGTCAAGTAGCCTACAATGTATCTGTAGATAAAACGTTCTGTTTTCTTCAGGCCTACTTCTGAATGAGTGGCACCTAAGTGCAAGATGATTTACCAGACAATGATAAGTCGGACACACGATGGCCACCCTCTGACGGCCAACACTGACACAACCAACCACCAACATGGCTCAGATGTCAAAGAAGGATTAAAAAACATGAAATTTTTGTCAAGGATGGCCAGTCGTTTTCAGGATAGATGTTCCTTTTACCTTGATGCTGTCTGTGTACAGTAAGTTCACTGTTGTATCATTTACAAATATGACCTTTTGGTATATTTCATGGAATGTAGCTTTAATCTTACGACATTTTTGAGAAAGTGAATATGCAATTGTGATAGAGATTTGTCCAAATATACATCGCACTGATTTTGAAGATGATGACATCATTTACAACACACAACAAAAAAGACACATAATTGCAATATTTGGATGTGTCATTAAATTTGAAACAGGTTGACTAATGAAATTCAGCTCGAATAGAATCAAGCTTAACACATTAAAATGAAACACATCAACAAACTAAACAACCAAATACTCACAAAAGTGGAATCAAACAATAGGACATTACAGAACAATGCAGAGTAGAATCAAACAATAGGACATTACAGAACAATGCAGAGTGGAATCAAACAATAGGACATTACAGAACAATGCAGAGTGGAATCAAACAATAGGACATTACAGAACAATGCAGAGTGGAATCAAACAATAGGACATTACAGAACAATGCAGAGTGGAATCAAACAATAGGACATTACAGAACAATGCAGAGTGGAATCAAACAATAGGACATTACAGAACAATGCAGAGTGGAATCAAACAATAGGACATTACAGAACAATGCAGAGTGGAATCAAACAATAGGACATTACAGAACAATGCAGAGTGGAATCAAACAATAGGACATTACAGAACAATGCAGAGTGGAATCAAACAATAGGACATTACAGAACAATGCAGAGTGGAATCAAACAATAGGACATTACAGAACAATGCAGAGTGGAATCAAACAATAGGACATTACAGAACAATGCAGAGTGGAATCAAACAATAGGACATTACAGAACAATGCAGAGTGGAATCAAACAATAGGACATTACAGAACAATGCAGAGTGGAATCAAACAATAGGACATTACAGAACAATGCAGAGTGGAATCAAACAATAGGACATTACAGAACAATGCAGAGTGGAATCAAACAATAGGACATTACAGAACAATGCAGAGTGGAATCAAACAATAGGACATTACAGAACAATGCAGAGTGAAACATATAAAACATCACCGTGAATGCCATCCTCGATACTCCAGAGGTTACGCTCACTTTTGCTCTCTGCACCCCTGGAATATGTCATAGTAAAATCGAAGGCTCAGCACGGGGTCAATCTTCGGTAACCAGGTAGCTCAATTGGTAGAGCTTGCATCTAGAGGTCGAAGGGGTCCCAGGTTCGAACCTTGGTCTAGCCTTGCATTTTGCCTCTCCTATTACAGTGGTGCCTGTGACCAGCCCTTGTTTCAAGCATTGGGTGTAGGCTTGGCAAGGTTATACCATACTTGGGTTGTAAATAGTTGTGTCCAATGTTTGAACCCTGGTCTGGCCATACATTTTTTCTTTCCTGTTACAATTCTTTGATGCATATCAAAAGAATCTCGATCGCATAATGGTACAATTGAGAGATTTGAAGTCAGGTGTCGCTCCTCTTTAAAGGACAGGTATCAGCCTAGTGATTGGTCAGTATTTTTACCCGAGACCAATCAAATAGCTAGCCGCATACATTTGATATTGCTATGACGCACTCCAGGGGTGCAGAGAGCGAGAGTGAGCGTAACTTCTCAATAATGCTTGAATGCCAACAGATCAAGAGAATTCTAAAACACAATCAGGTAAGTCTAACAAAAAAATCTTGAGCACATCAAACTACATGCATACAAAATAAACCAAAAGAGAAAATACAACGCAGATCAGCAATAGATGCCGCTATACAATATGAAATATGCTATTTACACAACAGATACTAGAACAAAAATTCATTGGAAAAACGTTTACAGACATGATGCACCAGCTCTAATGACCCGCACTACAACCATACTACAGAATACACACACAAACAATACTCACTAACAAAATGGTTGACAATCATGTCTCAATCCCACAAATACCCTTTACCCTGCACTCCAGAACCAATCACATATACCAGAACTCATTCACACACCTTGCTGCTGCAGAGGATACATAAAGTACTATTTCTTTCCACAGATCATAGCACAATCTAACCATCTATCAGTTCTAACAGTTCTATCCAGAACACTAGATGACTCGATAAGGTACATATCCTATACACAGTCATGGAACCCTCACAAACTTATGCTACAGTCAGGCTTTTATCTTATCTAATACTTTCACCAGATTTCATGCAAGAGCAAGTGAACATTTTAATATCTAATATGAAATTATAGGTCAATCTAGTAGTGCTTTCTAAAATCGACTTGCAAATTAGTATTCTAAATATCAATTTTTACACCCCTAACTTCCTGTTTAGTGTCCTAAGTTTATTTTAGAAGGTTATATTTTAAAAACGTATAATTCTAGGTTGTCCTGGAAGAATTAGGTAGCAATATGCTTTTTTGCATCATAGAGTGCAGATGGTATATCAAGGTATTTTTATATTTGAATAAACTGTACATACTGTCCTTGTAATGAAGCTGTCTTTTTCAGTTTCATATCTGCCCTTGGCCTGACCTACCTTGTTGTATGTGATACCTCGTATCCACCGGTACTAGCTTTCTCCTTCCTGGACGAGATACAGAAAGAATTTCTCCAAAGCTATGAAAAAAACAAAGTCGATGCAGTGACCAGACCTTACAGTTTGATAGAATTTGGTAAATTTTCCTTAATTACTAGTACTTTTTTTATTTGATTATAGTTCATTTAGTTTGAAGTGCAATCTTTTCTTAGGAAGTTTTGATTTTATACAAATATTAAAATCTTCCAGTTTACAATCTTTACCTTGTAATTGTTTTGCATATTTATGCCTTGAATAAAAGCTTCTTAGGTTGTATTGAGATTCTTGAGTCTTCTTAATAATTACATATGTAATAAAAGTGGTTCTTTTTGCCCCCTAACTCTGACTAAATGTACATTTTTAATATTGTTTATATACTGTACCTTTTATCATACTCATTATTGTAATTTGGTACCTTTTATCATACTCATTGTAATTTGGTACCTTTTATCATACTCATTATTGTAATTTGGTACCTTTTATCATACTCATTATTATAATTTGGTACCTTTTATCATACTCATTATTATAATTGCTTTCTAGAATACACTATACAACATGCAATTCTTTGTCAGATATGTCAATGCAGAAAGTGAAACAACGATACAACAACCCTCGGTCATTGACTACCAAGCTGAATCTGACAGTGCTGAGTGAAGAGCTGAGGCTAAGGCCACCTTATATCATAAGTCCCGAGCAGCTTCGGCCACACAATAACTCATATAACATGGACAACAACATCAAGTCCAACACATTTTCTACATCAGGTAGGAAATATTTATCTGTATTATTTTAAGATGGCATGACCCACCTTCTAGATAGGCAGGTCTATTGCAGAAAACCAACAATATTTTTTTCAACTAGGCCACATGATATACAAAACTGTTGTGTAATCATCACTTCAAGGTCATAGAGCCCTGACATATGTGATATAAAATAAATCACATTACGATTTCAGCCCATGCAGATGAATTTTGAAGTAAAAATATAAGTTAAAAACCCTTTTGAAAGTATTTGGTACTTCTTTGTTGATGATTAAAGAGCAGCTATTTTTTCAGCCTCACGTCACAGACATGGAAGTTACGTGGCTATGGGTCTGAGAACACTGTTGGCTGTAGGACTGAGTTTATTTTGTGCTGTACTTAATCTCACGAGAGGCCTTGCTGTAATCAACGACGCTCATATTGAGGTATACATTACTTGATGTTATCACATCAGGACAGTAGATTGAAGTTTCCTGAGTGTATAAACTATTATATTAAAGTTCCATTCTTTTTTCATGGAACAGAATTATCTGTTGTTCAAGAACAGATGTTTTCATTCATAAACTACCTGCTTTGTTTCAAACATCTTTATTTCGGATCGTTCAACTAAACATGTATTTTGTACACGAGTTCATATAGCACAACCAGTGAAATATTGATGTGTGATCTTTTGGTGACTCGTACAATGTGTACTTTATCACCTTCATCAGACATACATAGTGTATCCCGAGATTTTATCTAAAAGTAAACCCTGGGATACCATAATGGATGCTGATGATGTCACATAACACACAAAAAGTCAAAACTTGTTTGTATTCAAAAGGTTCTTTTAAATCCTCTAAAATGCTATTACAAAATAGTGGGCTAATTTTACAACTTAACTGGCAACAACCACATCTCTGGCATGACCACTGACAAAAGTCAGTTTTAAATCCTTCTAATCGGTTTTACATATAGTGGTTTTACTTTAATTCTACAACTGAATTGGCTAGGACAATCCCCGCTCTTCAGCATGACCATTGGCAATTTTTAAGTCTTTTGTGAGTATAAACAACCACATATATAATCCAGACCCCAATTTACAACTTTTTTCATGTTTAAGGTGTGCAGCATAAAATGCTTGTGATCCTTTTCTGACCTATGTTTGTTACCTTTAGGACTATAACTATAATTGTGATTCTTATCTGACCTGTGTTTGTTACCTTTAGGACTATAACTATGATTGTGATCCTTATCTGACCTATGTTTGTTACCTTTATGACTATAACTATGATTATGTTCCTTATCTGACCTCTGTTTGTTACCTTTAGGACTATAACTATGATTATGATCCTTATCTGACCTCTGTTTGTTACCTTTAGGACTATAACTATGATTGTGATCCTTATCTGACCTATGTTTGTTACCTTTAGGACTATAACTATGATTGTGATCCTTATCTGACCTATGTTTGTTACCTTTAGGACTATAACTATGATTGTGATCCTTATCTGACCTATGTTTGTTACCTTTAGGACTATAACTATGATTGTGATCCTTATCTGACCTATGTTTGTTACCTTTAGGACTATAACTATGATTGTGATCCTTATCTGACCTATGTTTGTTACCTTTAGGACTATAACTATGATTGTGATCCTTATCTGACCTATGTTTGTTACCTTTAGGACTATAACTATGATTGTGATCCTTATCTGACCTATGTTTGTTACCTTTAGGACTATAACTATGATTGTGATCCTTATCTGACCTATGTTTGTTACCTTTAGGACTATAACTATGATTGTGATCCTTATCTGACCTATGTTTGTTACCTTTAGGACTATAACTATGATTGTGATCCTTATCTGACCTATGTTTGTTACCTTTAGGACTATAACTATGATTGTGATCCTTATCTGACCTATGTTTGTTACCTTTAGGACTATAACTATGATTGTGATCCTTATCTGACCTATGTTTGTTACCTTTAGGACTATAACTATGATTGTGATCCTTATCTGACCTATGTTTGTTACCTTTAGGACTATAACTATGATTGTGATCCTTATCTGACCTATGTTTGTTACCTTTAGGACTATAACTATGATTGTGATCCTTATCTGACCTATGTTTGTTACCTTTAGGACTATAACTATGATTGTGATCCTTATCTGACCTATGTTTGTTACCTTTAGGACTATAACTATGATTGTGATCCTTATCTGACCTATGTTTGTTACCTTTAGGACTATAACTATGATTGTGATCCTTATCTGACCTATGTTTGTTACCTTTAGGACTATAACTATGATTGTGATCCTTATCTGACCTATGTTTGTTACCTTTAGGACTATAACTATGATTGTGATCCTTATCTGACCTATGTTTGTTACCTTTAGGACTATAACTATGATTGTGATCCTTATCTGACCTATGTTTGTTACCTTTAGGACTATAACTATGATTGTGATCCTTATCTGACCTATGTTTGTTACCTTTAGGACTATAACTATGATTGTGATCCTTATCTGACCTATGTTTGTTACCTTTAGGACTATAACTATGATTGTGATCCTTATCTGACCTATGTTTGTTACCTTTAGGACTATAACTATGATTGTGATCCTTATCTGACCTATGTTTGTTACCTTTAGGACTATAACTATGATTGTGATCCTTATCTGACCTATGTTTGTTACCTTTAGGACTATAACTATGATTGTGATCCTTATCTGACCTATGTTTGTTACCTTTAGGACTATAACTATGATTGTGATCCTTATCTGACCTATGTTTGTTACCTTTAGGACTATAACTATGATTGTGATCCTTATCTGACCTATGTTTGTTACCTTTAGGACTATAACTATGATTGTGATCCTTATCTGACCTATGTTTGTTACCTTTAGGACTATAACTATGATTGTGATCCTTATCTGACCTATGTTTGTTACCTTTAGGACTATAACTATGATTGTGATCCTTATCTGACCTATGTTTGTTACCTTTAGGACTATAACTATGATTGTGATCCTTATCTGACCTATGTTTGTTACCTTTAGGACTATAACTATGATTGTGATCCTTATCTGACCTATGTTTGTTACCTTTAGGACTATAACTATGATTGTGATCCTTATCTGACCTATGTTTGTTACCTTTAGGACTATAACTATGATTGTGATCCTTATCTGACCTATGTTTGTTACCTTTAGGACTATAACTATGATTGTGATCCTTATCTGACCTGTGTTTGTTACCTTTATGACTATAACTACTATTATGATCCTAATCTGACCTTTGTTTGTTACCTTTAAGACTATAACTATGATTGTGATCCTTATCTGACCTATGTTTTTTACCTTTAGGACTATAACTATGATTGTGATCCTTATCTGACCTATGTATATTACCTTTAGGACTACGACAATGACCACTACCAGTATGCTGCGACATTTATACTCAACTGTTTACTCCTAGTTTATCAGGTAAGGGCTGGCTTTCAGACAACAGAAAATGGGTGACACACTCAGTTTATTTCTCGCCATCAGGAAATCACTTCTTTAATGTGGATGTGTGTTAACCATGATGATTTATTTGACAGGGGTTACACAATCATGTATCAAGGGAGATAAATCTTCTTAACACATAAAAGCTACATGCTAATCTGGATTCAGACATATCTGAAAAAGTCAGCTACATTTGATTTCAAAGTATGCTTCTTTTCAATAAGTTTTTTTTGAAATGTGCTCTGGTGAAAAAGTCTGTAAATGTTTGTGTAAAGTGTTTTTATCTGGTGTTGTAGGTATACCTCCTGTGTGTGCCAGTAAAGACTCGCAGACCACTGGCATGTGCTACACTGTTTAGCATTTGCCTTTGTCAGCTTTACCTCTGGGAATATCGTAATAACTATCTCATCATTTTCCACTTCATTGTTGCTGTTTTTGGAACATATGTGATATTTAAAAGGAAAGTACAAGAAAAACTTCCACAGTATACATTATGATAGAAAGACTTCCACAGTATACATTGTGACAAAAAAACCTTTTAGTTGGGCAGGATTTTTAAACAATGATAAAGATCAATCTTTAAAGTCATGCTCTTGTTTTTATTTATCATTAAAATGATGATAAATAACCAAAGCACGTCCAAATCTATTATAGAATATCAAATCCATATTTGAAATAAATCCTTATAGAATTTTCACCTTTATAGCAAATACTCATCATTTTATCAACTTCCTGTCAGGTGCCGTCAGTATTATCGGGGACACATGATTGTCTATCTTCAAAATCAAAGAGTTCTACTTTCAATACACATATCTTCATAACAAAACCTAAGGCTAGCAGTAAGCTGTTTGATTGGTGCCAGGTATAAAAAACAGACCAATCACTTGGCTGACACCTGATTACAGAGGAGATATAGTCAACTTCAAAGCCTGGAGTCACGTTAAAAAACCTTCCATTGTGTCAAGATGTATTCTAAGGTTGAAGAGAAGATATGAAGATGTATAGCGGAACACAGTAATTGCCCTATGTATAGCGGAACACAGTGATTGCCCTATGTTTAATAGAATGTCCATGTGGCCAATGTGTTCTTCAAGATATTTTACTATAAATTTCATAATTTTTAAGAACATTAAAAGTTACTTCTAATTTCATTAAAGATTATTGATGAAAACTCTCAACATTTGGAGAGCAATGCTATAAACTTTAACTTTGATATTATCATGTTGATGGACTTCAGTGCAATTTTATCTACCATATACTAAATACACTTGTCAATTAAAACTTTAATTGAGTAACTCTTTCATCTAGTCGATTGGTGATGTGTTACCTTGATAACAACCACTTAGATACAGGGAAACACCACTCTTTATCTGAGTGGTTGTTATCAGGGTAACACCACTCTTTATCTGAGTGGTTGTTATCAGGGTAACACATCACTCTTTATCTGAGTGGTTATCAGGGTAACACCACTCTTTATATAAGTGGTTGTTATCAGGGTAACACATCACTCTTTATTTAGTAGTTGTTATCAGGGTAACACATCACTCTTTATATAAGTGGTTGTTATCAGGGTAACACATCACTCTTTATATAAGTGGTTGTTTCCAGGGTAACACATCACTCTTTATTAGCTCACCGGGTCCGAATGACCAAGGTGAGCTTATGCCTTACCGTGGCGTCCGTCATCCGTTCGTCCGTCAACAATTTCTTTAAACGACTTCTTCTTCTTAACCACTGATTGGAATTTAACTAAATTTGACTGGAAGCATTTCTAGGTGGTGGGGATTCAAAATTGTACAAATGGTTGGGCTGACCCCCCTGGGGGCTGAGGGGCATGGCCAAAAGGGGGCAATTTGGCTATATTGCTATAAACGACTTCTTGTAGAACTATACCATGGATATTGATCATATTTGGTCGGAAGCATTCATGGGAGACAGGGATTCAAATTTGTACAAATGGTGGGGCTGACCCCCCGGGCTAAGGGGTGGGGCCAAAGAAAAATTTATTACTTGGAAATGGTTGAGATCCCCACTATATAACCATATATATAATTGCTGAGTATAAAGAGAGGAATGCACATTTGCTTCCAGGATGGCCTTAGGGTCTGGCCCCAACCTTAGAGACTTAACCCCTGGGTCATAACTTTGAAACGGTTAAGATCCCCACTCCAAAACTATATATACAATTGTTGGGCATAAAGAGACGAATGCAGTCATGATATTAGAATTGACCCCAGGGTCTGCCCCACCCTTGCAGACATAACCCCTGGGTCATAACTTTGAAATGGTTGAGATCCCCAACCCAAAACTATATATACAAACGCTGGGCAAAAAGAGACAAATGCAGTCATGATATTAGAATTGATCCTGGGATCTGGTCACAACCCTAGGGACCTAGTTTCTGAGTCACAGCTTGGAAACAGTTGAGATCCCCACCCCATAACCATACATAAAATTGCTGGGCATAAAAAATTAAATACAGATATGCTACAAGGATTGGCCTTGGGGTCTGGCATATTCCCTTGGATCTCATTTGGAGAATATTTTGCCATGATTGCTTAGATATCCAGGTGAGCGATACAGGCCCTCTGGGCCTCTTGTATAAGTGGTTGTTATCAGGGTAACACATCACTCTTTATATAAGTGGTTGTCAGGGTAAAATATAAGATATAAGATATTTTACCAAAAATTTCCCTGCATGGAAACATTGATTAAAGGAAAACCATAATTTAGGCTGATGACTGTTTGTAAAGCTGGGGCCAGTTATACAAAGGACCAAGAACATTGTCTAGTACCCAGTGAAGCTAGTTTGAGGATTTAGGGTTAGAGTTAGGGTTGAGGTACTCCAACAGTGTTAGAGGTTTACATGGCGAGATAGTTTTGATGGCGCATGTCGCAGTCGGCAAAATCATATGCGATAGAACAAAGGCTGACCAGCGGCCTCTTATGTTAAGAGTAGGGTTGAGGATGCTTTCACCACTACACGTTGTGTTTTGGTGTGGGATTTTATTTTGACCAAACAAATACTCAAATTGTCAATGGGTTGTAAAACAATACAAAGGAAAACCAGGGCTTGTAGATTTGATGTCAGGGCTAGTGAACATTTTGAATACTTCAATATATGTTGGTCTAGTAGTTTCCAAAATCTGCTTGTGGCTGGTACTTTTAAAAAATATGATATTTTACATCCTTGGCTCAGCCATGTGAGGCAAAGTAGTACAGTTTGTCACACATGACTACTGTGTTATGCATGTATGGTATTGCCCATGTTGTTAAGCATCTGATGCAGCCTCATTGTGACATTGCATTAATGAGAACTCACATAAAGTGACAATGGTGAAGATGAAGACAGGAAATAGTCAGAGGAAACATGCTTTAGTCAGTTAATAGATATATTGTGCATATTAAATGTGATGAACAATACTTGAATTTCCAATTCATATCAGAGTGATGAAACTGGTCCTGAAAGCTTTCCTTATAGCTCTGCAGGGCCTTGCTCAAAAGAAACTGCTAGACTGTTGTCATCAGTCTGCTATGAAAGAGAAACCCATGATCTATGAGTACTGACATTGGGTCTATGGAGAGTTGTTTTAAGTGTCTGTAAGACATGTTTTAATGGAGATGTGTATTACTTTATTTTTGATTCTGTATGTGCATAAGGGTCACCAAGGAATGTCACTTGGTAAGCTGTCATTCCAATCTCCTTACCTACCTACCTTTAAGGTATGGGTACAGGCTAAATACTTGCTACGTTGTTGTTTAATTGTAGATATGTGTGCCATATTGTACCATATAGTATACTGTTCCTTGAACCATTGTCCTGACCAATCTGATTAAAATGTTTTAAATTACACTTTATGAATTTGGGTTGTATTTTTATGTAGATTAAACAGTTCGGACAGTTACTTTTTCGATAATTAGATTCCAGTATTTTGTCTTTGCATGTTTTATTTGGAATCATATTTATGTGATCAAAGATTCATTCTATAAAATCCATTTGTTGTTTAATGCCACTGGTCAGTGTTTTATGCCTTTGGTGGTCTTTATGGTGCAATTTTGTTTGATGGTGTTCAAGGAATTTTCAATCAGTGAGGGAACATTATTGTCAGGGGCCATACACGTGGTGTGAAGATTAAGAGACTCAAGTGTTTTTAACAAAATATTGCATTTTATTATTGTCAAGAACATGACTTGTACACATAATTATTATGAAATTAAAATATGTTTGTTTATAGAAGAAATTACTTATTTTATCATATAAAGAGTTTCTACAAATTTTGTTAGTTTAAATTAAAAAATATGATTGGGGAGCCATTTCCCTAAACTCAAATGAACACATGCGTTGTCCTCTTAAAATTGAAAACGTGGACTGTTTCAGACTTAACCAACACATGGACTGTTTCACACTAAACACATGGGATGTCTCTCACATATTTACAGAATATCTAACACTTAACAAATAGCCTGACGAAACACTTAACTCATGGGCTGTCTCACTAAAACACTGGCAGCCTCACATTTAACACATGGACTCTACATGTCTCGCACTTAACACAACGGCTACCTCACACTTGACACATGGACTATATAGTACTTTACATACAAACTGTCTCAAACTCACAGGGTGTCTCACACTTGACACCCAGGCTGCCTCATATTTAATGCAGGGGTTACGTACTCATGTTAAAAACAGGTCTTACACTTAACACATGGGCTGACTCACACTTGAAATAAGGTTATGTAGCACAGTTTGTCTCAATCTTGGCACATAGCTAGGCTATCACACGTAACATGTGGTTGTCTTACACTTAACACATGGTTGTCTTATACTTAAAACAGTTTGTTTCACACTTAACACATGGGTCATCTCTCCCTTAAAATTATGAGCTGTTTTGCACTTCACACATAACTTGTCTCACATTTATCACACCTTAAATAGAACAGTGGTCTCTCAATATTAAAGTATTTCAAAGCAATGCAGCCATTAATTCAGTTGTTTTTTTATCAATGAGTCACATGTGTCCATTTTTCTGTACTTCAGGAAACCGGCTACCTATTTCACTACTGTGAAGTTTTTCAAGAAAGATAACTCTTACATGCAATTACTATGTGTATATGGTTTATCTACTAAAGCAAGCCATTTATGTAAACCTATGGACCGATCAACACGTGTAAACCATTGTGTCCATTAACGCCTATGGACCAATCAACATCTGTGAACCAATGGACCAATCAGCATCTGTAAACCAATCAACACCTGTATACCATGCAATGGAGCCAACAACACCTGTATACAAATGAACTAGCATAAAACCAATAAGTCAATCAACACCAGTAGCCAATCAATCAACACCTGTAAACCAATAAGTCAATCAACACCAGTAGCCAATCAATCAGCACCTGTAAACCAATTAGTTAATCAACACCTGTAAACCAAGAAGTCAATCAACACCAGTAGCGAATCAATCAGTACCTGTAAACCAATTAGTCAATCAACACCTGTAAACCAAGAAGTCAATCAACACCTGTAAACCAAGAAGTCAATCAACACTTGTAAACCAATAAGTCAATCAGCACCAGTAGCCAATCAATCAACACCTGTGAACCAATAAGTCAATCAACACCTGTAAACCATTAAGTCAATCAACACCTGTAAACCAATAAGTCCATCAACACCTGTAAACCAGTAAGTCAATCAACACCTGTAATCCAATAAGTCAATCAACACCTGTAAACCAATAAGTCAATCAACACCGGTACTAGTAGCCGATCAAACATTATTTTTTTTGCCAATAGACCAATCAACACAATTGAAATCCAATTGACAAATCATGCAACACATGTAAACCACTGGAACAATCAACACATGTTAACCGATTGGCTAATCAACTGACGTAGACCAATCAGCAAATGTAACCAGCGAACCTATCAACACCGGTAAACTTAGTGGGTTAATCAAAACTTGCAAACCAATTGATCAATAAACACCTATAAACCATTGGGCAAATCAACATGTAGACCAGTGGACCAATCAACAGGTGTTAACCAATGCATTGAACCAATGAACACATGTAAACCAATGGACCAATCCACTTTCTGAATTAGTGTTGACGTATGTATTTATAATAAAGGTTATTTAAGGATTGAAACCTGTTTTGTTGAAGTTTATGGGGTATAAATTTCAATGGGTCTTGAGACAAATTTTATGAATTGCTTCGCAGTTCATATTGAATTGCAAGAATGGGCCTTAATTGAGACAAATCTTATAAACCACTGTTCTATCTAATGAAAACCGTACCGTTATACTATGGTTCATTTTTACCAATTCAAATCAAAATGTTAAACAAAACAAAATTCTTTCCAATTAAAAAACTACACAGTCAAGGTTTCTGCAAGGTTCAAATTTGTTTTCCTAATTTGAATGAATTATTAGTCATGCCTGAAAAAACATCAAGTGCACTTAACTGTTACAGTTTCTGGTTGTGGTAATTTGAGTCATTAGGGTGCAGCAAGTGTGTTACATTTTTTCCCACTATATATACGGAAATAATATTTTCCAAACCCACAAATCGAATATAACACGGCTCAAAATATCTTACTCCAAAATATATGCGAAATACGCGGCTATTTTTTGCAATTATATAACATGCCTTATTTAATTTTTAATCCATATCATAGACGTATATAATACAGACGTGTTATATATACATCTCTGTCCATATGCAATATTATTTTTGCATACACAGTGATATTTCACATGCGCAAATAAAAAAGGTAAGTAAGAACATTTTTTGATCTGCAATTTTTGATTAAGTATCTTGCAGATTTATGTAAGAAACCTCAATAAAAAAATGTAAAGCACTTGCCCAGCCATATTCCTTTTATTTTTAACAGGATATTCGTTTCATAAGAGTACCTCAGAGATTAAATATTGATTTATTTTGTCAAAAATATGAATTATGATTTAACTGTTTGTCTCTTATTGTGAATTTGTATGCATGCATATGTTTAAGGGCAACACCTGTTAAAAAGGATATATATATACATGCCAGGCTTTTATGCTATTAACACTGGTTATTATTCACCTGATAATGTGATGCTAAGGTGGATGCTTAATTGTCTTTCACATTTATTTTTGACATTTACAATTTTTAATAGGTATAATCACGGAATTAGATTGTTATCTAAGTCTGTGGTATAATAAATCACTCCTGGTGATCATGTGTACATGAAACCACAGGTGAAAATACAGGTTTATCTATCATGAAAAGGACTCTACTTTTGAAATAACACTTAATCTATACAGAGACGTATATACTACATATATATATACTGGCTTTATACGTCTCTGATCTATATACCTAATTCCAACAGATGGTTTATCTCTCAACTGACAGGGTGATCACCACACCAGTGACATTAGAACCATACGATTAGGTAGAGTCAGACCGGTGAGCCTTCACCACTGACCTGACTGGAGACTCTACTAATATATATAAAAAGATGGTTAATCCCCTAATGTTTAGAGTATAAGTAGTGGACTCCTTGTTTGGGCAACTGCACCCTTAGACATATATAGATATTCAAACTGCTGCTTGCCATAGAAAATCATAGTTCACAGGATGGTTGATATTAGAAGGAAATCCATAGGAAAAAGAGGAAAATCTTCAAAAACCTAAGTCCAGATTATTTTTGAACACAGAAAAATGGGTGTTGCCCGGGCAACTAGGGCAACACCCCTGGGTCCGTCACCGTATAATATAAGCATTATGTGTATATTAACAGACGAAGCTACAGTACCCGTGTACTTATAAACTTTAATAAAATATACAGGAACGATAACTCATATCGAGACATATTTTTCAGCGATGTAAGCTAAATTGGTTTTGTTGTGTAGTATGTTTTCATCTCAAATTTGAATTTAATTCGGTCTTAAAATATTTCGGAATAAGATAAAGTACAATTTAGTGACAGTTTGAGCCAAAAGAAAAAAAATAACAGACAATTTATAACATCGCAAGCGATCTTAAATTTGAACAGCAACACATGGCGGGATGTAGTTAAATGGATTAAGACTGTTCCTCGATTTAGGTTTAAATCAAGAGTACATTTTTCATGGTTCAGTGACGATTTTACAATCTCTAGTCTGTGTACCAGTGAAGATCGTCGAAAATGAAGAGAGTGTCAGCATTTTCTGTTTTCAAATCGAAAAAGGTATCATACCATCTGTTTGTAGTTTTCGGTCGATTCCATTTCATCGGTAGTAATAAGGGAAAAGTAAACATGTTTGTTGTCAGTGTCATGTTTACAATTTTGATGTAGGCCAGAGTGTGGGTGATGTTAGGGTTGGGGTACTCCAACAGTGTTAGAGGTTTACACGGCAAGATACTTTTGACAGGCGCCGTGTCGCCAAAAATCATATCCGATAGAAAAAAAAGCCGACCAGCGGCCTCTTATGTTATAGTAGTAGGGTTGGGGTACATCTTTACATGAATCACAGGGGTTCGGTTTCGGGATACTTTCGGTTGATAATAAATATACACACCAGTACATAAGCCAAATCTTGTCGGGTTTTGGTTTGGTTTAGTATTGTTTAACGTCCTATTAACAGCTATGGTCATTTAAGGACGGTCAAATCTTGTCAGAGCTGTACATATTTGTATCCCTCATTCCCTTCCCTAATACCTGAATACTGGTAGATGACTGTAGGTATTGTCGGGGGGGGGGGGGGGGGGCCCAATCACTTACCTGCACATGCCTTTTGCCAGTATAATATAACGTACTCTCTTTTAACCTACATTTGTTGCCATGTTATCATTTTCATTTCCAAAAATCTTCATAAAAATGTGTTATTATAAAAATGCCACCTCAAAGAACACCTGATTGTCACAATTGCACTCATACCTATGAGTTCTGTCACAGTGATTGGAAGAAGAAATAACAGCAACACTTTTATTCTGGTGTTTGTACACATTATAAAACCTTACAACTTTACCGATATAAATATAAAACTTTTCAAGATACTTGTTTTCAAGGTCTCAATATTTCTGTAGAATTACTAATGAAGTCTGACAGAGACCATGTACATCATATTAACAAAACCTTTTTCTCATGACCACAAGATATATAACAGATCTTGGAACATCACATGAAATATTTATATAATGTAGACAGGTAGAAAGTGGTTTAATTATTAAATTTTGTGCATGGACATTTCTGATGTGTGCTTCTAATTTTGGTACAATATTTGAAGAGGTTGTACTGAAGAGTTTTCCTCGTAAGGATGAGATAATTTCAAAAAACAGTATACATGATATGGTATTTATTTAAATGAAAAGAATAGCAATCCAGATTAACTTCAAACTTCATTACAGGAGGTAGAGCCGCAGAATGATATTGACAGGAGCACTATTCGTCGTGCCGCCAGTACACCTGCTGTAAATGTAAATGATGATAAGAAGACTGATGGCAGAAGTAAAAAAATCCTGGTCCGAAAATACGTTGTATTCCTGCTTTACTTTTCATATCTTCTCCAATAACTTAATATATGTATTCCTGCAAAGGGTTAATATTTCTATTGGTGAAGATAGTATTTCTTTATGGTATGTAAATTCACAGTTATGCCTAGTTAGAATGTGCTTTTATTCGAAGAGATTGTATCCAATTTTTGTAACTCAAGTATGAAAAGGATGAAATGATAGTTTATAAACTAGTTTCTATCACAAGTTAAATTTGTTTGTATACATGGAGCTGTATGTGATTTTATTATGCTTGAATGTGTGCAATGTATGGATAATAATAAATGATTTATCACAGAGAGCACTGAAGTCAGGCAGTCTGCGACAAAGTTTGCGGGGAACGCCAAAGATAAGGCCTTCCATCCTAAAGATGCGTGAGAGTGGTCCAGTGGCTGGAGATGGAGATACAGTAAAACTGACCAGTCTACGGGCATCCAACTCCGACCTGACCAACGACTCCACACCAGCTGTTGCTTCAAAGTCACACAAGGAAAAGCTGTCCAGTAAGTCACACAATCTGTATGTTGTTAAACAGTTTTTGCTTTAATAATGAGCTAGTTTAGCAAACTACTTAACATTATTCACAGGAGAATTTCATATGTTATATAAACAGGTGCAAGTCTTCGTCAAGACACACCCAAGGTACCACAAACAACAATCATCAAGCCTCGACGTAAGATGCACTCCGGCACTAACCCCTTACCACCTAAAGGTAAAGTCCAGTCACAATCAAAGCCTCCCATTGACTCATCACAGTCATCTGGTAAGGTCAAGCCAAGGTCAGTCAAAGATGAAAACTCATCAGAACCTCAAATAAAGTCACCCAAATCACCAGCCAGCAAAGAGAATTCCTCACCCAAACTAGGAAAAGAAGGGGAGTCTCCAAATTCAAGATCAACGCAGAAAAAAACCAAGAGACACCATAACTCTGCTGAAAATGGAACACCAAGCAAGAAAAAGAAATCTGAGAATTCCAAAAGTGATCAGTTTGAATGTAGCACAGAGGTATGTGCATATATCTATTTTTATGATGAAACTATATTCAGCTTAAAACAATTTCCAATAATTTATTTAAAATTCAATGTGTTTTTTGCAAAATAAATAAATAACAATTCAGTACTTTTCCAATATAAGTTGATCTAGTTTACCTTTATCAATGTTCGTAAATAAATTGATATACAAAAAAACCCGCTTGTTATCCCAGTATATATTTATCTCGGGTATGTAAAATCAGCTGGTTATTAAATTTAACTGTGAACTCCACTGTTCATGAGAAGCAAATGACAAATATGTTCAAATATAACAAATCAGTTCCATGCCTGTAAGAGTGAATACATTGTCACTGCTTTTTTTCAGGAAATAGAGCAAGCCATGGATTTTGCAGAAGAAACTGTAATGGAAAATTCTAATTTACCATACATGCATGACAGCACAATGGAAGCCAAGAGAATTTTTGAGTGTCTCATACACCCTGTAAAACCAGACAAATTTTTCAAGTGAGTAATATAAAATATTTTTGTCACAAGAAAAATAAGACATTTTACTACTCAGAATCAACTTGTGTTTAATGCTGTCCTATCCCTTTAATACCTTCATTGGTGGATATTGTTTGTTATGATGATATCATCAGAACATATCTTACTCCGGACAGTAAAGATCACCATTATTTGAATGATGATATACAAATGTTTTAGTTACACTTCTTCTCTTTAAAAAAAATAAAAAAGGTAAATAGATGAGTAGTTTTAGACATATTTAATTTTCAATCAATTGAATGGAATCAATAGATGCAGTACTATTTAAAGTGGTGGGGAATTGAGCATGAAAGTTTTGCTGGAACAAGACATCAGTGATGAGGAGTACAATCAGTGTCAGTAATATTTTGTGTCTGGTATTCTAAGGTGGTTTTGTAGTAGTTTAGAGCAATTTAGATTTATCAAGCTCCTGGATGTATTAAAAACAATTAACACAGCATCAATTAATACCTAACGTTCAAATGTTGGTGTTTAATTATTGTTAATGTAATTCTTGTAGACCACTTGTTGTTTATAAATGATAAGACAGGTCTTGTTGTTAATACAAAATGTTTATTTCTACAGGTAAAACCTGTAACATGCACAAATGAAAACAATGAATACATTTTGACAACAAATTGACTGGTTACATTCTGTAAAAGCTTTGTCATATTGTCAGTGTAAATATATTGTCAAAGGTCAATTATATCTTGGTATCACTTACTCGACCATACATACTTTTACATAACATTTAGAAAGCATTGTAAAATATTGAAATAATCCAGGGAAGGAGTTGAATTTTATAGTTCAGATGTTCATAGCATGTTACATGATTCGTTAACCCCTGTACATGTAGATACAATACATATTTTGTTGATTTCCCCAGAGAACTGTGGGAGAAGAAACCTTTACTGGTGAAGAGACACATGAAGCAGTACAATGATGGATGGTTCAGTACAGCAGAACTAGACAGGATCCTGCGAGAGGTAATATACAAAGTATCACTGTCGACCTATTACACTGTATATCCCATTTAGAACAATACCCTTAACTTCATACTGGTACCTCAAATCTTATATGGAATCTTGGAATACCTCAAAATTATCACAGTTGACCTGTTATATCCCATTTATAATGATACCCTTAACTTCATACTGGTACCTCAAATCTTATACAGAATCTTGGAATACCTCAAAATTATCACTGTTGACCTGTTATATCCCATTTATAACGATACCCTTAACTTCATTCCTAAACCTTAAGTCTCTCCGCGCCAGTAGGTGCATAAGGTCTCCACACTTTTTTCCCAACCCAATCTGCCTTGCGCTGCATGGTGTACTGCCTTTCTTCATACTGGTACTTAAATCTTATACGTAATCTTGGATTACCTCAAAATTCCATATTGCATTAACCTTTCTATGGAATGAACAAAAACACAGCAATGGTTTTAGAAATGAGATTAATCTGTCATGCAGAATAGTCTGGTTAGAACGTAAATAATGGATAAACATATTTTCAAGTGCTATTAGTTTAGAATGAGTGAAGTAAGCTCATCGGAAGTAAATTTCTTTGTTACAGGAAAATCTTCAGTTTTCAGTGAATCTTGACATAACAACATATACAAATGGCGTGAGAGAAACCCACAATCCTGTAGGAAGGGCGTATGCTCCTGTGGTCTGGGACATGTACCAGGTAACTATATTGAGTAGGTTAGAAATGAAATACTATATGGTCTGTATTTCTTTAACCATTTAAGTACTTAATGAAGAATATGATAAATAACACTTTCTCCTTATTCTAGCAACATGCAATAAAAATACATATTATTTTATTCAATAAGAAATATTAGAAATAAGAATATTTCTTTGTGTGAAGATTATGTAGTGGTTTGTTTCATTGTGGTAATTACACCATAATCAATCATCCTGACACTAAACTTTTTATTGCTATCTAGGTGTCTGCATTCACTTTAACACTGCTTTAGATAAAACTTTTTCAGAGAATGTTTATTGTGATTTTGTGTTTTACTTCAGAGTGGCTGTTCAGTGCGCCTGTTAAACCCTCAGACGTACTCGAGGAACGTGTGGAAGTTACTGTCTATGTTACAGGAGTACTTCGGCTGTTGTGTGGGAGCTAACACGTAAGGCAGCAGCTAAATAACACCTTAACAGTCTGTGTTTACTGTCATTCAGAAGATGAAACCTGATTCTGTAACAAGTAGTTAATTTACCCCAGTTCATGAACTGGAACTTGTAGACTTTTACGCATGAATATTGACAATTTTCAATACATGTCAGTCTGCACGAAAAACTTAAGAAGCCACAGGCACTTTGGGCCTAAAAGAATTCCGAATATACAGCTGGCCCCAACTAATTTTCACTGGCCCAAATAAATGTACAAAATAAGGAAAGAAAACAAAAAAATAATAAAACAGCTTGAATGGTTTGTAAATAGGTTTAATATTATAGGGTTTTTATCATAATGTCAGTTGTTGTTTAACTTGGTCACTTATTTTTATGTAACTTACTATTCTCATGCTGTTTTATAGCGTCAATATTAAAATTACCGGTCCAGACGGAAAAAAGAACTGATGTCCTCTTGCTCCCTGCAACATTCACAAAACATGATCTCTTTACTGTCATCATATTTCAACCATGGCCGATCCGTTTTCCATGTCGTTTGAAATTTTCTTGCCCTCTTTGCGTCATAAACCTTCCACGCATACATTTCATTAAAGGGAGTCTCCGATTTGCGTTTCTAACTAGGTTGTGCACATTCCTGATATCAAAGGGATCGAAGCTCGCCATGCTCTCCTGACACTTAAAAACCGAAAACAGAAGTAGTGAGACATGTAGCGGTAAAAGCAAGAATGTTAGACTTACCTTGGTACGCAACACATTAGGAATTCAAAATTGCCAATTTTATCCCGATGCGACATGAAAGGTGTTACAGTAACGAAACACAGACGTAACACAGATATGGTTTTAACAATATATATATATATTTGTTTGTATGATAATTTTCCACTGGCCCATCAGACTTCTGGCTTCACAAACTTTACTGGCCTGACCTGTAATTTACTGGCCTCGGGCATCGGACCACCAGCTTATTTCACAGACTGACATGTACCAGTATCAGTTTTGAAAACAGATTGAGCTTATAGATTTTTTCAACGTCCTCATGTAGACAAGGACACTGAAATACTTAGAAACATACTGCCATAAGTTCAATTACATATAGATAGACTTCCACAAGGTAAAATACAAATGTACTACAGTGGCATACAGACTTTTGAGATTAACAGATCGTTTGTGATTTTCAAGTTTTAAAACACAAACTATGACAGTATGCCGATGAAGGCTGCAAAGTAAAATAACAGGTGAACCACCTCACTGTTATAGATTAAATAGATAGAGAAGAAATGATCAGGGTTAATATGACAATAGATCATACGTTTAACAATGCTGGAGAAATTTGTTCTTTTGTTCACAATAGACAGAGACAGCTGTACTTTCTACAACACACTATTTTATGCTGACAGGTACTTGACACCTCCAGGAACACAAGGGTTTGCTCCCCACTTCGATGATATAGAGGCATTTATACTACAGCTGGAGGGCAAGAAACACTGGCGACTATACAGCCCACGGTAAGTATTTAATCTGAAACTTAAAAATAACCTTATGAAAATCAAAATAATTATAATAAGATGAAGAACTTCTATTTTTTGCCACGATAGTAAGAATTAACTTTGTTACAGCTCCACATCTCACTGTGTCCTTATTTTCTCGTTCTTTATTATGATAATTTTGAGACATGTACTTTCATCAGACCACCAAATGGTATATTCATATGTCAGACTCATGTTTTTGGAGTTTGCCTTTATACCTAGTTTAGTTATTGGTAATAAAGGACTTATCTGATTGATTGATTGTGATGTATAGTTTATTTTTGATGAATTTATAAAGAAAACTTTCTTTTCCAGATCAGATGCAGAAAAGCTGCCAAGGTTCTCCAGTGGTGAGTTGTTTAAACATCCTGTGTTTTTGTAGACATCAAACATTTGACCTGTTTGGTGACAGCTGTATTGTCGGAGGTTAAAGCTGAAAACTTAAAGAAACCAGTATCATAATTCTACAGTGTCAATATAGTATCATAATTCTACACGGTCAATATAGTATCATAATTCTACAGCGTCGATATAGTATCATAATTCTACACCGTCAATATAGTATCATAATTCTACACCGTCAATATAGTATCATAATTCTACAGCATCAATATAGTATCATAATTCTACAGGGTCAATATAGTATCATAATTCTACAGCGTCGATATAGTATCATAATTCTACATCATTAATATAGTATCATAATTCTACAGCGTCGATATAGTATCATAATTCTACATCATTAATATAGTATCATAATTCTACATCATCAATATAGTATCATGATTCTACAGCATCAATATAGTATCATAATTCTACAGCATCAATATACATAATTTAAAATGTATTATCATTAATCAGTATGCACCAGTTACCATATACCTATAAAGCCGGTGGAAGTTTGATGGGACATATTATGGGATTGGAAGCATCCCCATTGGTTTCCACTAGATCACTTGCTTTAATAGCATTCAATTTTCATAAAACTTTCGAAGCATGCAAACTAAGCAAAGTCAGATTTCAAAGCCGGGCAATATTAGCACTTAATTAACATGTTGTGCTCTGACTGGTCTACAGTTTGTGCTCATTAACTAAATCAATTATTGTTCAAATTCTGATTATTGCGATCCAAACAGTTAAACCGGTTGGACCAGAGTTGTTCATTTATGAAATAAGGGCGAACCTAGTAATCTGATGCTTCTTTCAGGCAAGCCTTGACAAAGCATTACAAGGCCTGCATAAACATTTGCAGGTCTGCCAGGGTTTATACCTGAAACTGTTACATTTAAAAATAGACAAACTGGTTGAACTGGAGACACGAAAGGGGACATTAACTTGTTTTGCTTTAATTCAGGTAACTTCACTGACGTAGATTTAGGGGAGCCTATATTGGAGAAGACCCTGGAGCCTGGAGATCTTCTATACTTCCCAAGGGGGACAATCCATCAGGTAGGTTGCATTACGCTGTATGGTCCAATAAGTTTGGACCCAGTAATCTGATGCTGATTTCAGGTGAGCATTGACAAAACCTTACAAGTCCTGCATAAACTATTGCAGGTGCACCAGAAAATTGTTACATTTAAAATCGGACAAATCAGTTGTTTTGCATATTAAAGTAGACAGGCCCCAGATCTTCAGTACTTTCCAAGGGGACAAACCATCAGGTGTATTACAGGATTTGTACTGCCCATGGTTTGGGTGGACATCTGTTGGGTTTATCTGATTCTCTAGTTAAGAGTTATACAGCTGCCTGTTCACATTTCACATTTGGTGAACCTAGAGTCACTGAATTCACTAGAGTAGATATATACATTTGTTTTACATTCAACATATTTGTTTGTGATCTGTCATTGGAACATGATTAAGGTCCCAATATCTTTTGTTTAACTGATTGAAATTGATAAGGTGATTTAAATAAGTAGTACAGAGAAATTGTGTTGACAAAAAACATTGATCTCCATATTTCCAGTAAAAAAAAACCAGGATTTAGTATTGTACCAGTGAAAGTGATAGAGAAATGTTATAGGACCTAATGAAGGCTTGTTTTCATTAAGGTTCCTGAATTAGGAATGTTTTGGTTAAGGCAGATTACAATGTATTTGATATTGAATTCTTGTCCAGGCTAAAACAGTTGGAGATGAACACTCCCTACACATCACCGTTTCCTGTTACCAGAAGAACACATGGGGCGATTTATTTGAAAAGGTACAAATTTATAATATAATCTGAACAAATCAGTATACTCTCCATGTATTTGAGGGGGAGTATATAGTAATGGATTTGTCAGTATGTGTGTCTATGCATTGTCCTTCTGTATATAGATATTTCACGAACTCTTTAACAGAAGTAGCTTATATTTACATTATAGTTAATTACACATAATCTTTATGATTATGTTAAGTTCTACTAATTAGATTTCAGTTGTCATTGATTTGATCAAGATTAAAGGGTCAAATGTCATACTTTTGAAGTAAAAAATGAACGTGTATTTTGTCAGTTTTTCAGTAAGAACATCAATGCTATGGTATAAGAAATTCACATTCTACATGATATGATTAACTCCAATCTTATTTCATCTGTAGAACCTCTTTGTGTATTAATTTGTTTCAGCTAATGCCTAGGGCAGTGCAGTTAGCTGTTGAAGAAGATGTTGAATTCAGAAAAGGTTTGCCCCGAGGCTACCTCAATTTCATGGGGGTGGCTAACTCTGATGTTGTAAGTGTTGTAGTCTGACCATCCATTTATATTCTACTGACCCTGAAATTTATTTTGACATTTTGAAGGGAAAATGTTTGCTTTGCTACATGATCTTCAGGATTTTTTTGATTTTTTTTTTAAATTAAAACAATTTTATGTTTGTATGCTACCAGAAAATAAGTATGAAATTTTAAGGTCTAACTAAGCTTAAACATTCCTTTATACTCAAGTAATATTTTCTTCAATAAGATCAGTAAATATAGAGTTCAAACATGTCAGTGTGCCTCCCGTAAATGTCAATACCTGTACTTACTGGGTTTGATGGTTGTTACTCATTCAGGACAACCCACAGAGGAAGGAATTCCTTCGGAAGGTGGAGCAGATGATGATGAGGATGATAAGTAATGCCCCAGTGGATGCTGCTTGTGATCAGATGGGCAAACAGTTCATACACGACAGTCTGCCTCCCGTTCTGTCAGAAGGTAGGTAGAGTTTAGACAGGAGAGTTTGTACATGACAATGATGAGGATGATAAGTAATGCCCCAGTGGATGCTGCTTGTGATCAGATGGGCAAACAGTTCATCCACGACAGTCTGCCTCCCGTTCTGTCAGAAGGTAGGTAATTTAGACAGCAGAGTTTGTACATGACAGTCTGCCTCCCGTTCTGTCAGAAGGTAGGTAATTTAGACAGCAGAGTTTGTACATGACAGTCTGCCTCCCGTTCTCTCAGAAGGTAGGTAGAGTTTAGACAGGAGAGTTTGTACATGACAATGATGAGGATGATAAGTAATGCCCCAGTGGATGCTGCTTGTGATCAGATGGGCAAACAGTTCATCCACGACAGTCTGCCTCCCGTTCTGTCAGAAGGTAGGTAATTTAGACAGCAGAGTTTGTACATGACAGTCTGCCTCCCGTTCTGTCAGAAGGTAGGTAATTTAGACAGCAGAGTTTGTACATGACAGTCTGCCTCCCGTTCTCTCAGAAGGTAGGTAGAGTTTAGACAGGAGAGTTTGTACACGACAGTCTGCCTCTCGTTCTGTCAGAAGGTAGGTAGAGTTTAGACTGGAGAGTTTGTACGCGACAGTCTGCCTCCCATTCTGTCAGAAGGTAGGTAGAGTTTAGAAAGGAGAGTTTGTACATGACAGTCTGCCTCCCGTTCTTTCAGAAGGTAGGTAGTATTTAGACAGGAGAGTTTGTACACGACAGTCTGCCTCTCGTTCTGTCAGAAGGTAGGTAGAGTTTAGACTGGAGAGTTTGTACGCGACAGTCTGCCTCCCATTCTGTCAGAAGGTAGGTAGAGTGTAGAAAGGAGAGTTTGTACACGACAGTCTGCCTCCCGTTCTGTCAGAAGGTAGGTAGAATTTAGACTGGAGAGTTTATACACGACAGTCTGCCTCCCGTTCTGTCAGAAGGTAGGTAATTTAGACAGCAGAGTTTGTACATGACAGTCTGCCTCCCGTTCTTTCAGAAGGTAGGTAGTATTTAGACAGGAGAGTTTGTACACGACAGTCTGCCTCCTGTTCTGTCAGAAGGTCGGTAGAGTTTAGACTGGAGAGTTTGTACACGACAGTCTGCCTCCCGTTCTGTCAGACGGTAGGTAGAGTTTAGACAGGAGAGTTTGTACATGACAATGATGAGGATGATAAGTAATGCCCCAGTGGATGCTGCTTGTGATCAGATGGGCAAACAGTTCATCCACGACAGTCTGCCTCCCGTTCTGTCAGAAGGTAGGTAATTTAGACAGCAGAGTTTGTACATGACAGTCTGCCTCCCGTTCTGTCAGAAGGTAGGTAATTTAGACAGCAGAGTTTGTACATGACAGTCTGCCTCCCGTTCTGTCAGAAGGTAGGTAATTTAGACAGGAGAGTTTGTACATGACAGTCTGCCTCCTGGTCTGTCAGAAGGTAGGTAGTATTTAGACAGGAGAGTTTGTACACGACAGTCTGCCTCTCGTTCTGTCAGAAGGTACGTAGAGTTTAGACTGGAGAGTTTGTACACGACAGTCTGCCTCCCATTCTGTCAGAAGGGAGGTAGAGTTTAGAAAGGAGAGTTTGTACATGACAGTCTGCCTCCCGTTCTGTCAGAAGGTAGGTAATTTAGACAGCAGAGTTTGTACATGACAGTCTGCCTCCCGTTCTGTCAGAAGGTAGGTAGTATTTAGACAGGAGAGTTTGTACACGACAGTCTGCCTCTCGTTCTGTCAGAAGGTAGGTAGAGTTTAGACTGGAGAGTTTGTACATGACTGTCTGCCTCCCGTTCCGACAGAAGGTAGGTAGATTTTTGACAGGAGAGTTTGTACATGACAATCTGCCTCCTGTTCCGACAGAAGGTAGGTAGAGTTTTGACATATTGAACTAACTAGCGGACTAATCTGACAAGCAGGATGGCCACCAGTCATCTTCATATTCGGCTGTTCAACTTTGTTATCACTTTATCTGAAGAAGCAATTAACAGATCTTTATCAAATTTCGTATGTTGATTTTCTTAGATCCTTAGTTGTGCCTGAGACATTTTGAGGCTGATCAGAAAAACAAAATGATCATTACTGATGAAAGGCAGCCATCTTGTATTTCAGCAGTTTCTGTTCATTATCACTACTTTCCAAGAAGTACGAGACAGATGTTTCTCAAATTCGAAATTCCGGTCCTCCTTGTGACACATGAAGTACTGTCCTAGTAAATAGGTCAAACGACAGCTTCACTTTTGAAATAGCAATGCCGTTCACAACAGTAGGAAACTTTGATCTTAAGTTTCCATAATTAAGGTATTAACTGTTTACATGACTCAATCCAATAGATGAGAGAAAAGATCAATTAAGGATTATATTTTTTGTTGTTGAGGTTTATAAACCTCAATTTGTCTTAAGACCAATTGAGGTTTATACCCCATAAACCTCAACAAAATGGGATTCTATCCTTATATTTACATTCAGAGCGATAATGATATTTGTTTGGATAATTTCTAAAATATCGGTCTTGTGCAAGTCTAACACCACAGAAGGTATCAACACTTATGACATCATCACTCACTGTGAGACGTCGTCCTGGTAAGATGAATAAGCAAATTAAGATGTAAATTATTTTTTCAATTCAATTGCATACTTCTGACAAAAAAAATACAAAATTTAAAACAATCTTTGAATGGAACTACTTTCCGGACTTCACATTGTAATCAGTATGATAATATGCTGATGTATTCATACGCCAACTGAAAAGTTCATTGAAAAATAACTTTTAGAATGTTAAGTAGGTACGGTAAACCTCCAGTCAGTTCGAATAGGCGGATAGTTTGAACACACCTTTTTAACAATAAAAACAATAATTGTTTGTCTAGTTATAGTTAGAACCCGCCTTATCAACATTTCAGATAGTTCGAACACATCGTACAAAGTTTGGGTAACGGTGAATCTAATTTGAAGTGCGAGTTTGACTATCGGCATTCAAAATGCTGGTCTCGTAAAATCGCTCGTCTTGGTCAACAATACACGTTGACAGCAACGTTTGGGTAACAGGTTGAATTTCAAGTATATTACATCATTATCATACGAAAGAAGTGAATCCGTAAGTGAAAACTAGCTCAGGTGCAATCTGTAGCCACAGTTTCAAACCCCAATCCGCATACTCAATAATACCGGCCCCCCCCTATCGGGGCCTACATAATGGCCGCTGCTTTGTACATTATACGGAGTGAAAATGAACCTGCAACATATTTAATAATCAATTGACATGTAAGTAAACGATTTATATGAATTATTGTTACTCTATACTACACATAGCAAGTCCGTTAAGAAGCGTGTTTTCCATTCACACTTGGCCTGTTCGTTGATGTGGCGGTTTGTGTCAAGGCATTCTAAATGTAATATTTCACAGGGGTAACACGTGGCGATGCAGGCCTCTAAAGTATTTCCCAAAGCTAGCCAGAAAACAGATTAAATCCTGGGGTCCGTCCACATTTCATGATTTAATCCCAAATTGTTTGAATTCACTCTGATAATTCGAACTCGCGCTTATTTTGGCGGCTACAATTTGATATAATTCGAACAGGTTAAGCAATATGTATTTAATTTTGTTCGAACTGACCGGAGGTTTAACGTATATTGAGTCCAAGTTCAGTAGAAATGTAAATATTCTTAGATAGGACCTTTATGAAGATGGTACAGTGTTGGGCACTAGATCTCCCTGGGATCTCTTGTTTGTTGTCATGTTTAAGCCAGACATTGTTTTTAATCCAATATTCCTGTTTGAAGCTGAGAAATCATGCAGTATACACAATGGAGGAGAGAAGTGGGACAAACAGAAAAGCCAGGTTGTAGGAGCAACAGAAATTGAACCAGACACAGCCATCAAAATTGTCAGGAAAGGCATTCTCAGGTAAGGCATTCTCAGGTAAGGCATTGTGTAAGGCATTCTCAGGTAAGGCATTGTCAGGTAAGGTATTGTCAGGTAAGGCATTCTCAGGTAAGGCATTCTCGGGTAAGGCATTGTCAGGTAAGGCATTGTCAGGTAAGGCATTGTCAACACTAGATCAATCGATCCAAAAGCAAAATTATTTTCCCTCTTCTTTGACTGCCCTGCTGAACTCCAAGTGGAGTGTCAAAATATTATTTAAACTATTATCCCGACTTTGTTGTTTGGATATTAGCATGTCTGTGGCTGTATATTATAGGCAAGTTGTCCTTAATGCCAGCTGTTTTATGTATCCCTTTGCACTCGTTGGCTTACGTCTTTCTTGCTATTTTGTTACAGACTCCTAACAGAAGAGGATGAAGTTAGGATATATCACACGCTGGAGAATGCACGGTTATACCACAAGGTTGATCCACAGTACATAGACGTGGAGGCTGAGGTAAGTATATATCACACAAGTGATTACATAAGTGTACCGTGATGTTCCATGTCATTATTTGTTTGAATAACTGTAAAAAATTAACAGAGTTTGAATAATCACAAATTCTCACATCATGAGAGTCCTCCATCTTTCAATGTTTGAATTGTCTGCATGTTGCAGACAATAACAATTTAACCAAATGGTATGAAATTTCATTCAAGTATTCCTTACATCAGTCTAGGCCAGTTGAAGGTCAAGGTAAAACATTCAAAGTCAAGGTCACTGCTTACCAATATTTACATGCCGATTGAAAGTTGGCTAGACAATTTTTTCTTGACTGAAGTTTTGTAACCATATTGCATGAAACCTCACACAATTATTCCTGACATCAATCTCTTGAAACCAGTTGAAGGTCAAGGTCATATGCTTACCTGTTCATCTATTTGTCTGTCAGTATAACACTAGGCTGCTGGTTCCTGACTTAAGTTCCAATAGAATTTTATGGAACTTAACACAACTATGACAAAATCATAATGAGGGGAAACTTTTATTGTCTAAGCATTCCTTACTAATATTTTAAACTAATTTCTGTAAAGTTACTCCATATAACTTAGACCATAGCCCACAATGCTTGTTTACACATACATACACAAAGCTCAACTGGATGGATTTTAATTGAACTTATCATTTATTATGCATAGACTTCCACCACTAGTAATAGCCTGTTGTTTGGTATTTAGCATTGTAATAATTTGCAAACAGGAAACACTTACAACAGATCTGTAAAAATGAGCCTTGGACAATGTTGCAACATGTTGATATTTGTTCTTTTTGTATTGGGATGTGATATGACAGTCCAATATACATGTTAACAGGTTAAAACAGGTTAAAATATACATATACTGGTTTTCTTATATCATTATGACAGCCTACTTGAGGATATTCACTTCTGTTGGCAGAGTATTATGCCACATTTATGTTGCTGTTGTTTGTTTGATCTGTTTATAGGATGTCAGTGATTGTATATATGTGTGAAGTGGGATCTCCTGTATGTACTATAAATTGTACAGATTGTTTAACTCCCTGATCATCCATTATAGGTAGCCTCTGCTGTAGAGTTCCTCATCCACTCCTACCCGGAGTTTGTCAGTGTGGAAAACCTGCCACTACCTACCCTGGAGAAAAAGGTCAGCAGTTCTAAGCTATCCCTCTATTACCGAGATCTTGTTAAAATAATCGTTCATAGAATGCTGTATACCGTGACATATCACAGTTTCAGTTTTACCTTGTTGCCATCCATTATAATGGTGAATTCATTTTGAGTGTAAAATATAAGTACACAGACCATGTCTATCTATGTCTCATTAGAATTTTTACTATGAAGTGGGATAAACTAATTGTCTTTGTATGTATAGCTAAGTCTCCTATCAGATAGGTTTCCCTTGCTATGTTAGGTGTTGTACGCAGTGCTGTTATAATATAAAATAGCCAGAGAAGGTGTGTGATGTTATGTTACTTTACTTTCAGCTTGAAATAGCGACATCACTGTATGAGAAAGGATTACTGATCACTGGAGAGCCCCTCACATCATTGGACGATGACAGCTCATGTGACAACTGACCTCTGACTGGGACATACCTGCGAGTTCCCAATTGTGATGTAGACAGAAAATTATAAATGCTAAAAAGACTTGAAGCAGACTTCTACCAAGTTGTGTTCAGTAACAGAGAAATGACTGCGTTTGATTTATTATGTATTGTCTACTGTTAAGGTCTCCTGGGACAAAGTCTCCAGTGACCTGCTGCAATTGTCTTTTGTCTGTCATCGTACATCCCTAAACAATTCAAATTTGGGTCATTTTGCTGAAAAATTGCTGAACTGATTTTAATGAAATTTTTATGAAGCTTCCACAGTTAAACTTGTGAATTATATGGATCTCAGAGCCAGGGCCCTGAGGGGCGGGCCACAAAGGGGTCAAATTTACAAAAGTTTCAACTATAATCCTCTCCAGACCAAGATGTGAATAAAATACTCTTCATGGACAGAAAAGATCTAAGGTGCTTCATGAACATTTTGAATTTCATCACCTTTAGGTCACCTATCCCCATGGAGAGGGGTAACATTTTACTAGATTTTGTGTATGGAAACAACACTTTGGGGTATAGTTTGTTTATTTTCAGTTGGAAATAATTCAAATATGGTTAGAATTATTATCATGGAATGTTAGATTGATGGTATGAAAACAAAAGCCTTGAAACACACCTAAGGCTTGAGGGATTGGGCCCAGAGGAGTGAAAAGGCTTGCTTCAACAATTTTCTCCTCAGACCTGATGCTATAATCATTGAGAGAAATGTCCTGAGGTGATCCAAACTTGTGAATTTCATTAACCCCGTTATGAAGTGGGTACATTTTATAGTCTATATGTACTGGGATAACACCGTGATATTATGTGTATTTTCTGAGGAAAGTAATTTAAACTTGATGGGAATTTAAGTCATGTAATGGCAGTTTGACAGTATGAAAACTGAGATGCAAACAAGGGAGGTGTACAAAAAAATTACGTTTTTCTTGAGGACCGCAAGGGCTAGGCATTGTTTTAATAGCATAATTATCAGGAACTGGTTTACTAGAAATTGGTGAAGACTGATATAGGTTTTGTCTGTTCTGATACTTACCAGCTGTACATAGTGTGTGTGTGTGCAGGGGCCTGTTTGTTTATGCAGAACAACGGGTTTGTCTGTTTTTAAATGTAATATTTTCGGGTATATGCAGGCCTTGCAATGCTTTGTTAAGACTAGTCTGAAAGCAGCATCAGATTACTATTTCATAGACGAACATCTCTGGTCCAACCTGTTCAACCATTTGGATCACGATAAAAGAAAGTGGCCTTGGTCGTTCTTCAACACTTTGTTTGTGAATCCATAGTTAAAAAGACCTTTTTTGGTTTATGTATACCCAGGTAAACTTGTTTTCTTAGTCATATCACAACAACAGAAAACAGTTGTACGTTTTACAACTCAGGTGACCATTAAGGCCCATAGGCATCTTGTTTTGGAAATTTGTTTCCATTATTTGTTTTTTTTTTAAATTTGAGTTGTACTACAACAGTTCCGTATTGATATGTATTTGTTACAGAAATAAACATGGGTTGTAAATGATCATGTAAATTGTTGTATCAATTAATTACAATTGTACAGGTGTGATTTTAATACTAGTATCTTGTCTTTCATCAAATCCGTTATAGCTTATCTACATAATCACAATATGAGAAACTGTGGACATTATACCTAAAACGTGAGTTCCCTATCAGTAAAACTGAGAGAGAACTGGCTAAAGGCTTGGAGTGTCCACCCCACGATCACATCCATCCATGATGTTTGAATGATCACAAAACTTCACCGATGGAGTACCAGGATACAACTCTTGGGCTTGTTTTTCAGTATTGTTGGTATATATCAACTCGTATGTATCAGTAATTATTAACTTATTATAAACAAGGTTATGTGATAATAATTGAAATGCCTATATGCTATATACTATTTCTCATTTTATACATACTTCTGTTTCTCTTAGCAGTTTACAATCACCAAGTGTTGTATCCCAGACTTTTATATTTTAAAGATTTCACATTAGATTTCTAGATTTTATTATAGGGATCATAAATCAAAGTCCTGTTTAATTCCTAGCTGTATTACAACCTACTTCCCTAATATAGAGGACTGTACTGGTATTATAATGATGTATTCTGGTATTATATTGATGTATTCTGGTATTATATTGATGTATTCTGGTATTATAATGACCTCTTATATTGGATATAGGAATACAAGTCTGGTAACACCTATACCAGAACTAACACCAGACTTATTTTAAACTTAGTGTTTTGTACACTGTTTAGTATTGTGATTTGTACAGTTGTCGTAGGATACAGTATGCTGGGTGTGTAGTCACTTGTAAGGAGCTTTGTTCAACAGAATGTTATACATATTTTGAACACACAATCGGTGAAATATTTAAAGAGTGCAAAACATCTTACATGTATCATTGCTGCAGGAGTTCCTTAACCAGTGAGAAACAGTATTACCGTTTATTTTAGGTCAGAGGACAATAGGTTAACCTTTAAATCACTTTGAATTGGCTGGATAGAGAAAATATAATGGCAGTGATAATTACAGGAAAAACTCAGTCCCTGGGATTGGAACCCTGGCACTAACTATTACTGTTTCTGTGATATTTACTGTTGCTTATCACACAATTTACACTAATCTGAATATTTGAAGCTGGTGAAGGAATGCTGCTTTTAACTATTGTGAGTGAGTAAGATAAATGAAAAAAGATGTTTGTAATGTCTTTAACATGAAATAAATTGTCCAATCATCAATGTACTGTTGTTGTTTATGTTGTACAGGATGTTTTATTACAGACTGGGCCCTTATACCAACCAAATGGAGGTAATAGCCCTGATTCATTAAATAAGTACAGCTCACTGATTAAGAAATCATTACTGGTGGGAGACTGGATTGCTTTACAATGCTTTGCCTTAGTAAGCCTTTAGTTTACAGTTCTGGTTTATATAGAGCGGGGGTAATTGTTAGCCTTTGGCTTACAGTTCTAGTTTATGTGTTAGAATGTATATTTTCAATACCAAGCAGGCTAAAGCATTGACTTCCTGCCAGAGCAGATCCAGTTGTTGTATGAAGTATGAATGCCAACGTTTCATAAAATCAGCAACGTATTTGTATCAGCCAGCCCCCATATCTTCTAGCTTAATGAAAGTTCTTTTTTTTCAAATTATAACGTCTTATTGCGCTTAAAGAAAAAAAATAAGAAAAAAAGATAAAATCAACAAAATCAGCAACAGTGCCCTGTGTGTAATCCAGCGGGACCAGACCTAGATTCGGACTCTGGACCTCACATTATAAAACTGCCCCTCTAACCAACTGTACTACATGGTGGAACCAGACCTAGATACGGACTCGGGACCTCACATTATAAAACTGTCCCTCTAACCAACTGTACTACATTGCGGGACCAGACCTAGATTCGGACTCTGGACCTCACACTATAAAACTGTCCCTCTAACCAACTATACTACATGGCTGGACCAGACCTAGACACGGACTCTGGACCTCACATAATAAAACTGTCCCTCTAACCAACTGTACTACATGGCGGGCCCAGACCTAGATTCGGACTCTGGACCTCACACTATAAAACTGTCCCTCTAACCAACTATACTACATGGCTGGACCAGACCTAGATACGGACTCTGGACCTCACATAATAAAACTGTCCCTCTAACCAACTGTACTACATGGCGGGACCAGACCTAGATTCGGACTCTGGACCTCCCATTATAAAACTGTCCCTCTAACCAACTGTGCTACATGGCGGGACCAGACCTAGATTCGGACTCTGGACCTCCCATTATTAAACTGCCCCTCTAACCAACTGTACTACATGGCAGGACCAGACCTAGATACGGACTCTGGACCTCACATTATAAAACTGTCCCTCTAACCAACTGTACTACATGGCGGGACCAGACCTAGATTCGGACTCTGTACCTCACATTATAAAACTGTCCCTCTAACCAACTGTACTACATGGCGGGACCAGACCTAGATTAGGACTCTGTACCTCACATTATAAAACTGTCCCTCTAACCAACTGTACTACATGGCGGGACCAGACCTAGATTCGGACTCTGGACCTCACACTATAAAACTGTCCCTTTAACCAACTGTACTACATCGTTAATGGAAGTAACCGGGCTTACTTCGCTACAGTTAAATCCAAAAGGAAACCATGAGGAGGTTACTGTATGTATGTATGAAAAACCAGAGTAGAATCCTTGAGTGGGACAGGGACCCTTTAAATAATACTGTACGAGTCCTTATCGGCACCCCGAGATGTCTGTACTGTACGAGTCCTTATCGGCCCCCCCGAGATGTCTGTACTGTACGAGTCCTTATCGGCACCCCTGCGATGTCTGTACTGTACGAGTCCTTATCGGCACCCCTGCGATGTCTGTACTGTACGAGTCCTTATCGGCACCCCTGCGATGTCTGTACTGTACGAGTCCTTATCGGCGCCCCCGAGATGTCTGTACTGTAAGAGTCCTTATCAGCAACCCCCAAGATGTCTGTACTGTAAGAGTCCTTATCGGCAACCCCCAAGATGTCTGTACTGTACGAGTCCTTATCGGCCCCCCTGAGATGTCTGTACTGTACGAGTCCTTATCGGCACCCCTGAGATGTCTGTACTGTAAGGGTCCTTATCGGCACCCCCGAGATGTCTGTACTGTAAGAGTCCTTATCGGCAACCCCCAAGATGTCTGTACTGTAAGAGTCCTTATCGGCACCCCCGAGATGTCTGTACTGTACGAGTCCTTAACGGCACCCCCGAGATGTCTGTACTGTAAGAGTCCTTATCGGCACCCCTGAGATGTCTGTACTGTAAGAGTCCTTATCGGCACCCCTGAGATGTCTGTACTGTACGAGTCCTTATCGGCACCCCTGAGATGTCTGTATTGGCGCTTTTTAATTATAAAGCTAAATATCATTTGTATGGTTCTTAAAACTCCAGGGTTTACGCTCACTTTCGCTATCTGCCCGCCTGGAATAAGTCATCAAAATTGAAGGCACGCGGTTAGCTATGTGACTGGTCTATGGTAAAAAAACTGACCGATCACTAAGGCTGATACCTGTCCTTTGACGATTACAGAGGAGCGACACCCGACTTCAAAGCCAGACAGTTTTTACCGTTACGCGACTGCGAGATTATTTTGATGAATATCAAAGGATCGAACTAGTCTTGTCTAATCAACAAGATGGAACACACTGAGCCTTCAACTTTGCTATGACCAGGGGTGCAGAGAGCGAAAGTGAGTGTAACCCCTGGAGTATCGAGGATGTGTATGATGAAACAAGAGGCTTAAAGGGCCGTCAATAACTCACCTGACTATTTTGGAAATAAGTTGAAATCCGCCAAGTTATTGGGGAGGATATGCCTTTTAATGCTAATCAGCCAATTCCAATTTGTCCCGTTTTACCTAGTGCCTCAGCTCCCAGAGGGGTCAACGCCTTGATTTGTATAACTTTTAATCCATATGGGCTACCAGTTGATTGAAATCAGCCTAGTCGTTGGGAATCAATTTTACCCTGCCCCTCCGCACCCAAGAATATCTGTTCCTTAATTTGTCTAGCTTTTGATCCCTATGGGCTAAACATGCTACCACTAGAATTTGGTTGAAATCTGCCTGGTAAATTGGGAGATGTTATTCGAAGCAAAAACCAATCCCATGGCCTGAGCATGTTAGCACCGAAATTTGGTTGGATACTGTTCAGTAACATGATGGTTACATCTAAAGCTGACAGACGACGACCGAATCACCACCACACGGTTCCATGTTATATACTTCGTACCGAGTGAGCTAGAAAACTGGATATAATATGTTTTAAAGATAAAAAAAGGAACATATAGGTCTAGCCCGCGGTTCAATCCTATTCACAGTAAAATAGGACGAAATTGAAATAGCAATAGGTGATATCACTTTTTAAATTCAGAAAGCTACACACATGGGTGTCTCAAGTTTTTAAAGAGCATATATTATTCAAAAAGGTGCTAGATAGCCACAGTAAGTCAGGAACCTGTACAGAAGATTGTCGAGGGAACAAGAAGAAACGCCTTTTAGTAGAAATTCTGGATTTTCGTTTTTATTGTTAAATTAGTGTAACATAGCAATAAGTTCACTTTTAATAAATACACGTGTACAAAATCGATCACATTCTTATATTAAATATAACTCAAACATACCAGAGAAGAAAATACATCAAACTAAATCATACAAACTACACTTACATACTCTCCTGTCACCTATACACCTAAAACGTACACACGGCTTCAACACACTGACCATAACACTGACTAGAATCACACTCATTTCCACATTGACTTGACGAATGCGATATCCATCTTACAATGTTTACACATCAATAACATTTTTACAACAAACAATCAATACATGCTTCATAAGATTTAATAAATAATGAAAGTTAAATATTGTAGAATAGTGTCTATATTTGTGTAGGTAGCTCATTGGTGTGGCCTTGACTTCCAGCTACTATGTCTGTCCAGACCTTGCGCCATTGACCCTCCCGTTAATGTGACCTTGATCGTTATTGTACCCTTGACCCTTCTGTTGCTGTATTGCCTACTTGTATATTATTGTTTCCGACACATCCATGACTGCCCCAACCCTCCAATGATTATGCCTTAAATATCCCTTTGCTATGTTCCTGCCCCCTCCCCCGGTACTGTCTGTGTCCTTGGCCCTCCCCTTATTGTGTAAATAACATATCCGTGATTTTGTCCTTGTATGGTCTCTTTGACCTTTCCCTTTACGTTCCCCTGTCCCTACTACTGTGCCCTCGACCCTCCCGTTAAGAAAAGTACGTTATCCCTGGCCCTCCCGTTATTATGGCATTGACTCTCCCACTTAACCCCCGTTAAATAGGTTACTGTATCCCTGACCCTTCCCTGTTCTTCACGCGCGCTAACATCCGGGCCAACAAGAGTGATTAATATAAGTTGAAATAACTTGTTACATTATTGTTGTAGAATAAATAAAGTTTATATTTTAATTATGTTCTTGTCTCTCCAACTACGGTACTTTGACCCTCCCGTTAAGTAGAGGACTATGTCTTTGGTCCTTCCCTAATTATGACATTGACCCTCCCGCTACTGTGTTTTTAACTCTCCCGTTAAGAAAGTAACTTGTCCCTCACCCTTCCCTAAAAATGACCTTGACCCTCTCGCTACTGTGCTTTTAACTCTCCCATTAAGATGAGTGCTGTATCCCTGACTCTTCCCTAATTGTAGCCTTGATCTTCCCACTACTGTGTCTTTGACTCTCCCGTTAAGAAGAGTCCACTATGTGTCTTTGACTCTCCCGTTAAGAAGAGTCCACTATGTGTCTTTGACTCTCCCGTTAAGAAGAGTCCACTATGTGTCTTTGACTCTCCCGTTAAGAAGAGTCCACTATGTGTCTTTGACTCTCCCGTTAAGAAGAGTCCACTATGTGTCTTTGACTCTCCCGTTAAGAAGAGTCCACTATGTGTCTTTGACTCTCCCGTTAAGAAGAGTCCACTATGTGTCTTTGACTCTCCCGTTAAGAAGAGTCCACTATGTGTCTTTGACTCTCCCGTTAAGAAGAGAACTGTATCTCGGAACCTTTCTTATTATGGCCCGTGTCCCTTTCGTGATTATGACCTTGCTGTGTCTTTAAAACTTCTGTTATTGTATCTCATGATAAGGTTAATGTCCCATTGCTGTGTACATTCCAATTTAACGATTCCGTGCTAGACCCCTATCCCTGTTATAGCGTCTTTGTCTGCTGGGGTTGGGAAGACATTGCTGCCGTCTGTGTACCCGATTGCCCCGGCTTTTGAAGTGGTTGCTTCTGCTGTTGTTGCTGTTGTTGAAATCGTTGCATGTTCATTGCCTGCTGCTGCTGCTGGAACTGTTGGTACTGCCGGAATTGCTGCTCTTGAGCCATTGCCTGCTGCTGTTGCATCATCTGTTGTTGTGCCATCATTTGTTGTTGCGCCATTTCGTGATGGTATCGATCAAAATCGCGCTTCCTAGCGGTAACGTACTCTGGATAGGAAATGTAACCATCTTGGTCGAAGTCATCTTCTCTTAGCACTTTATCTATGATATCTGTAACACAAAACAAATATTGACTCCATTACAGTCCTATTGAGACATTCATTACGGAGCTCAGTCTATTTTTCATCACTATGATTTGGCTATTCTTTTTCCAACTCCCATTAATTAATTGCAGAAGTTTGAGCACAAGGCGAGCCTCTATAGCTCTATGAACATTCAATTAATAAACATGAATCGAAACATTATGTGATCACATTATTTCCTTTTTTGTGATTCTTTATTTTGTTTGTAAACAGCCATGCCTGTTGATACCTGAGCAATATATATCTATACCACTTAACTGTAGGTCTTTATTGTTTAATTTTGCAGCCAATCAGAAAGTTCTTTTTACAACAAATTGTTCACGAGTAGTACTTTGCTGACCCCCGACTATATAAAGATTGTACTGCCCTTACCCGAGTAGTGCTTGGTGGCCCCCTCACTGCGTTTGCGCTGAAGTTCTGCTACTTCCTGTTCCGATTTTCCTGTCGTTTCTTCCGCTGTTAGATCGTACATGTTGTTCATGTGACTGAGGGCGGCCATTATCTCCAAACCGTCTAGCTTGGTGTTGTTGTCCGCATCGTGTAAGCTGGAGAGAGACAGTTCAATACTCGTGTGCTCATAGTTTAAATTTAACATAATTGATTTGGCAATAAAACGCAATATATTTCACATGTAAATAAAATACATAAAATTATGTAAATCATAATATAGCGCTTAACGGGATGTTTTTTTTCTCTGTTAAACGCTGAGTGGTATGATAATGTGTATTCTAGACGCTAAACCGGGTGACGTTGTAATATAGGCGCTAGAAGGGTGTTATTGTGTTCTCTTGATAGAAGCCGGATGTTGTTCTGTTAAATACTGAGGAACTAAACATACTGTTAATCTATTACCTAGGCGCCACACTGGATGCTAGTGTTGGTTTCTGTTTCATGTTCAATGTATATTCAAACGAAGAATGAATGTAAAACAGACAGGATGCTCAATGTGATGTAGTTTGACTGGTATAGCTGGTTTTATATTGGAGAGATTGTGTCAGACGATAGAACACCATTGTTCCTTAGTGAAGCAACAAGTTGGAGTTATGACTTGTGACGTAGTACGACTTACCGGAAGTAGTGGAATTCCATCTCCTGTTGTGTCATGGGTTTGCTGGTATCTATCTGCTCTTTCAGATGTTCCTTTAAATGGCTGAAATAGAAGTTTTCTATTAGTGATATGCCGATTATGTCATAGGATTGTAACTGGTGTCATTTTCTGTGAAGCGTCCGCTTTAGTGATAGAACCAGAGGCCTTACTTTCTGACGCTCTGCCGATCATTTCCCCCGACGAGTCGGTAGGAAACGGTGAGCATTTGACCAGGAGAGCAGAATAAGCATTTTTGTCAATATTCTCGGTTTCTAATACGCATGCGCCAATGGCACAGGTTGCATGTCATCCTTTTTAAAATGCCTCCGTTAAGGATCGAACAGGGGACCTTCGGCTAACTATACGCTCCACCAATTGAGCTAACGAGACATTTCCCTAGACAGGTAAGAAGCTGCTAGTATATATTAAAAGGTTAACAATATGATACAAACACGGTATAACACTTACGCTTCATCATGGACAACTTTGTTGTCGTGAAACCCGACTTTTTCGGGTGGTTCTTCGGGAGTGTTAGGAGCAGTAGTAGTAGCGGGGTATTGACCTTGTTGACCCCCGCATGGTCCCATCCTCGCCAATACTACTAACATGAACAGAAGGGAGGGCAGGAGTTGTGTCATGTCTGCAGGATCTGTAAGGAATGAAAACAAAACATAAGTGACGTACATGCAATATAAGCATCGACTTTGTGACTGCTTTAATTTAAATTACATGGGATTAAAAAAAATCGAAAAAACAAGAAGAAGTTATACAGTTTCCGGCGTAGTTATAAAGTTACCGATGTAGTTATAGTTTACAGTGTAGTTATAAAGTTCCCGATATATTTATAGGTTGTAGTACTAGTGTAGTTATAAAGTTCCTGATGTAGTTATAGTTTACAGTGTAGATATAAAGTTCCCGATGTATTTATAGGTTACAGTGTAGTTATAAAGTTCCCGATGTAGTTATAGTTTGCAATGTAGTTATAAAGTTCCCGATATATTTATATGTTACAGTGCAGTTATAAAGTTCCCGATATATTTATAGGTTACAGTGTAGTTATAAAGTTCCCGATGTATTTATAGGTAAGAGTGAAGGTATATGGCTTCCGGTGTATATAAAAATTCCGGTGTAGTAATAAAGTTCCCGATGGAATTTATAGGTTAGAGCGTAGTATATGGTTTCCGGTGTATATATGACTTCCGGTGTTGTTATAAAGTTCCCGATGTATTTATAGGTTACGTGGTAGTGATAAAGTTTCTNGGTATTGATTGTTACGTCATTGATTTTTGTGATAAAATTACGTCGTTTTCTCAAAAATTGATGACGTTACTCTCACAAACAAATGACGCAACAATCAATACCTGCTCACAAGAGCAGATAACTCTGCAATACGCAAAGACGGAATAGGTTACATGGTAGTTATAAAGTTTCAGATGTATTTATAGGTTACAGTGTAGTTATAAAGTTCCCGATATATTTATAGGTTAGAGTGTAGTTATATGGCTTCCGGTGTATAAATAACTTCCGGTGAAGCTATGAAGTTCCCGATGTATTTATAGGTTAGTGTGTGGTAAATGGTTTCCGGTGTATATATAACTTCCGGTGTTGTTATGAATTCCTGATGTATTTATAGGTTAGAGTGTAGTAATATCGCTTCCGGTGCATAAATGACTAAACCTGAATCTTTAAAAATACACTGAATGTGATATTACAGCGGAGGCTATATAAGTCACTGTAATCTGATATGAGGCCGGATAATATAACTACGTTGTAATATAAGATAACACCGGATCTATTTAACTGCGTTGTAATAAGATATAATATCGACATATATTGCTTACCTGTGATATGATATTACACCGGAAGCTATAACTACACTGCAATATGATATGTGCACCTGCATTTAAAACTACACTGTTTTCTGATGTTTTACACCGGAAGCTATAAGTACACCTTAATACAATATTACAGCATTTAGCTTTAACGTAATTTAATTTTACACCGGAAGTTATTACGATAATATATTCTGGTATTACATCGGAAGTTATTTCCATGATGAAATCTAGTATTACACCGGAAGTATATAACTATTGTAATCTGGTATTACACCGGAAGTTATTTCTATAATGAAATCTAGTATTACACCGGAAGTTATAACTATTGTAATCTGGTATTACACCGGAAGTTATTTCTATAATGAAATCTAGTATTACACCGGAAGTTATAACTATTGTAATCTGGTATTACACCGGAAGTTATTTCTATAATGAAATCTAGTATTACACCGGAAGTTTTAACTTTTGTAATCTGGTATTACACCGTAAGTTTTTTCTACAAGTTAGGATCGGTTATTGCATTTGAATAATTTTTTTTTTTTTAAAATAGCCTTATTTTCTTTGATCCAAAATGTTCAAAATACTTTCACGTCCACATTAACCAATACCGTTGGCATTACCAAGGAACAGTTTCGGTAAATTGTGTTCAGGTCACTTCATTCACTGTTCCGTAACTCGCTACCCTATATCTGTTAATGTCCACACGTTTGTCTTATTAATGACAACGCGTTTTACATCATCAATAAGATACCGGTATTATTTGACTGCTCGCCGTATATATATACTTCATTAATTAGCAGTATCTGTTATATTACACCATATGTTAAATTAACTCAATACCGCAAAGTTACACCGTATGTTTATTAATTAAATACCTTAAATTTACACCGTATGCTACATTAGTGATATACAAGTGTCATTAATACCGTATGTTTAATTGGTTAATACCAGAAAATTTCAGACGGTATGATTTATTAATTGAAGTCAAATTAATACACAAGAATTATACGTAATCATTGTCGATAAAAGAGTTATAATTCTGTCATCATTGCTTATGTGACCTCTGTATACACGTGGCTGTTAGGTGCTGACCAAAGGTAGCAATCCCTATAGCTACTCCTCAATCTGAAACATTTATACCGTCATCCCGTGTTTCAAGAAAAAGATGAACTGTATACCACATGTATCATCTTATGTGATTTCAAATTAACTAAAGTAAAAACATTGTCAAATGTTTGTTTTGAAGACTTACCTTTAATCGCTGGTAAACAGCAGGTATGTCCCGGTGTCACTATTTAACGCAAGTACGTGGACAGGTAACATGCACAAGATGACAGGTAATTTGTGACTGATCACCGTATGCTACCGTAAGCCTCGATTCAGTCCAAGATCTGTCCCTAAGGGGTCAAATCAGCGAGTAATTTGCCGTAAGACTCTCACTGGTTACATGTTACCATCAATCACGTGCTATTCAAACCGTTGTTCAGTCATTACACTTCCTGCTTTACAGCATGTACCGAATTCTGTTTAATGCTTGTCATTATGGTTAAATGTGTGCCGATAGCCAGCTCATTACTGAGGACACATAAACCCCCCATCAGTGCGGAAATGATTTTTCGAACATAATGGGATCTATGTCGTCACGGAGGAGTCATATGAGGTATTTGTCGCGTTTGTAAGACAGTTCAAGTCGATCAGATGTAGTAAGACGGTTTGTTATAATCAACTATCCAATAGAGTTCAAAGTAGTTGTCGCGGAGTTCTAAGACGGTTCAGGTCTGATTATGTGAGGAGTTTGTTGAGGAGGAATATCAATAAAATGTTTGGTAGCTTTAGACAAGCATACCCACGTGCCTTGTTGTTGTAATGTATAAGGCGGATGCCAAATTAATAGAAATGGGTACATATATTTGAGTTTTGTGTTTTAATCTAAGAATATATATATCGACTATTTTAGCTCGCCTGACTGGAAAGGCTGAGCTTATGCCGAGCTGAGCTAAAAATCTTCTAGTCCATGGGAGAAGGGATTTTGGCCTTATTGTTTTCAACGCTTGCTCACATACCGCATTTTCTGCTGGTTACTCTCACAATTCATGTACTGGTTCATACAGCTTTAATTCCGTCTTTGCGTATTGCAGAGTTATCTTCTCTTGGGAGCAGGTATTGATTGTTACGTCATTGTCTGTGTGAGAAAATTACGTCGTTTTCTCAAAAACTGATGACGTTATTCTCACAAACAAGTGACGTAACAATCAATACCTGCTCTCAAGAGAAGATAACTCTGCAATACGCAAAGACGGAATATCACGCTTTCTATACCGGTTAATATTATATAAATATTACATTTATGAGAGGGCGATATTGCATATTTTCACCCCAAGGAAGCATTGTTGGCCGAGGCGAAGCCGAGGTCAACAATGCTTTCCGAGGGGTGAAAATATGCAATATCGCCCTCTCATGAATGTGATTTTTATTTTATTATACCGAGTGTCATGTTTAGGTGTTTCACCACTTCACCATTTTTAAAGGTCCTTGTGTTGATTTGACATAAACCAAGACTTCATCTCAACAGTTGTCGAATGAACCAACCATGAATGTGATTTGATAACACCCTGGCACTGGGACGAACCGTGCACGCATACGTTTGGCGCATGTAACAATTTTTGGAATAACATCCTGGCACTGGGACGAACCGTGCACGCATACGTTTGGCGCATGTAACAATTTTTGGAATAACACCCTGGCACTGGGACGAACCGTGCACGCATATCGTTTGGCGTGATATTTTTTGGAATGTCACCCTGTCTTCTTTATCTTTGTAAAACGAGCAAGTAACATTGAACATTTTCACATCTTTCTCAACCAATCAGATTACGAGATTTTAACAGAAGGTATAATAACACAATGTATATACTGGTTCATAAAGCTCATTCTCTACCTGTTCATACAGCTCATTATATACCGGTTAATATGACACTTTCTATGCTTGTTCATTAAATGCAATTCTAACTCATTATGCTGATTAAAAGCATACATTCTATGCATGTTAAAATCATATTTTGATATACTGGTTCTATCACATTTTAATATACTGGTTCTTACAACACATTCTATGCTGGTTTATATCACATTTTAATATACTGGTTTATAAAGCACACATACTAGTTAATAGCACATTTGATTATTCTGGCTCGTAAAACACATTCTGTGTTAGTTGAAATTAAATGTTGAATATATTTGTATAATTAATATCAACTTTCAATACTGGTTATTATAACAGTTTAGATGTCAAATTGTAATACATAGTTAGGGACGAGCTATTCCGCAAGGTTGTCTGTCGGTAGTGAGTGTATTGGCCTTTCAAAATACACATCAAAAGACAAAAACACATAAAGAGAAAAGACGACTACATTTATTATGCTTTAGAACAGGGTTAGCACACTGACACTGATGATGAGGATGGCTGATGTGATGGGTATAAATATCAATGGTTATATGAACAATTAATGGTGTTTTGTTCTCTCCAGTCCTTAATGAAGATACATAGCAATGTATTGATCAATGATTTTCACAGTTCCCGTTTTGTTAGCACCTCCCAGCGTGCTCAAGGCCGGAGTGGATTTAATGGCCTCAGTCTTATATCACAAGACCAAAGAATTGGCTTAACGTCCACATTTTTGTATACAAATAAAAAGTTTGAGCAAGGTAGTTAAGTGAACTCAAATATTCTAGTCTACTGTTTCTGATTCTGTGTCTGTGCAAAGTTGTGTACTTCTTGTGGTTGCTGCTGGAATTTTTGAAATTCTTCAAATTGTTTCATCTGTTCCATTGAAGGTGAGTTCGGTGGCGGTGGTACACCGGGCGGGGACTGTACAGCGCCACCTGGTGGCTTTATATGCCCGCCCGCCTGTTGCTGCTGTTGTTGTTGTTGTTGTTGTTGTTGCTGCTGCCACTGTTGGAATGCCTGCCACTGCTGCATCTGCTGGTATTGTTGCTGCTGCATATTGCCCTGCTGTTGCGCCATCTGTCGCTGATAGTTCTCAATGTCCCGCCTGCGGCCCTGGATGTACTCCGGGTAGGACACGTATCCGTCCCTGTCGTGGTCGTCCTGTATAAGGACCTTGTCAATTATATCTGTAACAGAGGATGCTGATAATGTTAACATCCCGTCTGAGAGACGCATCCTCGATACTCAAAGAGTTAAGCTCACTTACGCTCTCTACACCTATTGAATATTTCATAGCAAAATTGAAAGCACAATGATAGCTGTTTGATTGGTAAAAAAAGGCTGATACCTGTCCTTTGAAGATTACAAAGGAGCGATACCCGGCTTCAAAGCCAGTCAAATTACCGTTACGCGACCGCGCGATTAGTTTCATGTACATCAACGGATTGAACTTGTCTTCTTGTTTCATCTATACAAGATGGTGCACACTGAGCCTTTCATTTTGCTATGACATATTTCTGAAGCGCAACCCCTGGATATTGAAGATGTAGAGACGAGGACGACTGTTCTACGAAGCATTTGACCCAACCCCTTACATGTTAAGTATTTTGCCCCGCCGCTTACCTATGAGTATTGACCCAACCTCTTACATGTTAAGTATTTTGCCCGCCCCTTACCTATGAGTATTGACCAAACCCCTTACATGTGAAGTATTTTGTCCGCCCCTTATCTATGAGTATTGCCCAAACCCCTTACATGTTAAGTATTTTGCCCCGCCCCTTACCTGTGAGTATTGACCAAACCCCTTACATGTTAAGTATTTTGCCCTGCCCCTTACCTATGAGTATTGACCCAACCCCTTACATGTTAAGTATTTTGCCCGCCCCTTACCTATGAGTATTGACCAAACCCCTTACATGTGAAGTATTTTGCCCGCCCCTTATCTATGAGTATTGACCAAACCCCTTACATGTTAAGTATTTTGCCCCGCCCCTTACCTATGAGTATTGACCCAACCCGTTACATGTTAAGTATTTTGCCCGCCCCTTACCTATGAGTATTGACCCAACCCCTTACATGTTAAGTATTTTGCCCGCCCCTTATCTATGAGTATTGACCAAACCCCTTACATGTTAAGTATTTTGCCCCACCCCTTACCTATGAGTATTGACCTAACCCCTTACATGTTAAGTATTTTGCCCCGCCCCTTACCTGTGAGTATTGACCCCTCCCCTTACCCGTGAAGTGTATTTCTTATCCGTCCTTTGTCTTTTACGTATTCGGCCCAAAACGTTCACTGACCCCACTCCCTTCCCTGTAAAGTATTTGTCCCTTCGCCCCACCTCTGGATGTGAGGTTTTTGACACAACCCATTAACTGTGAAGTATTTGACCATTGACCCCTTCCCTGTAAAGTATTTGACCCTTCGCCCCACCTCTGGATGTGAGGTTTTTGACCCAACCCATTAACTGTGAAGTATTTGATTCTTCACCACACCTCTGATGTGAGGTTTTTGACCTGACCCATTAACTGTGATGTATTTGACCATTGACCCCTTCCATGTAAAGTATTTGACCCTTCACCACATCTCTGGATGTGAGGTTTTTGATCCAACCCATTAACTGTGAAGTATTTGATTCTTCACCACACCTCTGGATGTGAGGTTTTTGACCCAACCCATTAACTGTGAAGTATTTGACCATTGACCCCTTCCCTGTAAAGTATTTGACCCTTCACCACATCTCTGGATGTGAGGTTTTTG